GTGATTCTAGAATCGCTGTCGAGTTGCATGAAAAAGTCGCAGGTCTGCGTTATGGCAAACATGTAATTGCTGTTGCCGGCGAGCATTTTGGTAGATATTCGTTTGATTGTTTCAGGCGCAGTAATTCTCACTGTGGTGAACACTGTAAAGCCAGGCAGCTTGAAGGCTCAGCCCATTATCTATGGGATCCTCATCATACAGATTGTGGCGACTTTCTGCGTGGGTGAGTCACGTACAGTTAACCCTTGATTATCCGAACGAGACGGGCAGGGAGTATTTTGTTCGGATAACTGATCTGATTGTAAGTAAAGGTTAACTATTCACGGGACCTTGAGATCTTGTTCGGATAATTGATGTTCGGATAACCGAGGTTTGACTGTATTCGATAGAGAACGTCACGCATATCAATTGAGCAAAGTCACTCTTGAATCGGCTATTAAAATGTAGAATTGTCCTGCCACCTATGGCTGGTGTCTAAATAATATAATGCCTAAAGTGTATTCAAATAATCGTGGCTTGCTATATCAAAATAATTATTCATAAAATATTGGCAGAAATGATTTTATTGATAACCTGCTCATTGTGGCGGGGTATATCACGATGTGCATGTCAAAACATGCCTTCTGATTTGGCTACCATGGCATGTCACAGTCTGCATGCTATGATATGGGTTTCAATTTAGGCTACCATGGCATGTCACAGTCTGCATGTCATGATACGGGTTATAATTTCATGGCTATGGCGCATCACAGTATGCATGTCGTGAGATGAGTTCTAATTTCGCTGCCGTGGCATGTCGCAGCTTGCGTGTCATGATACGGGTCCTAATATCGTTGTTCGCGTTGCAGCGTTGTTCTGGCAGCGAACGACGGTGATCGGCGGCGAGGACCACAGCACCGCGTTGTTCATACTGATGTTCTTCATCGCGATCTGCAACACGACGTCGAACATCGTCTTCCTGCCCTTCATGGCGCGCTACCGCCACGAGTACATCACCGCTCTCTTCGTCGGCATGGGCCTCAGCGCGCTCCTCCCCAGCGTGGTGGCGCTAGTGCAGGGCGGCGGAACATCGTCGAACTGCGTGAACGTGTCGTCGCCGCTCGCGAACAACGGCAGCGAGTGGTCGCTGCAGACGCCGATGGCGTCCACGCGGTTTGGCGTCGACATGTTCTACACGATCATCACGGGTCTTCTCTGCGTCAGCTTCCTCAGCTTCGTCCTCCTCACGTGCCTCCCCCGCCTCCGCCGCCATCAGCTCCCCCGCGGCGGCCCCCCGCGGTGTGTGGCCATCCTGACATATTTGGTGTGATGCACTCATCCGTGCGTACGCAGCGCTAGTAACGTGTACACGTGCTCTGCGTATTGTACACGTGTTATGGCGTGTTACCAGTGTTATAGACGGTTCCTGAGACATGTGGGGGATGCCCGACTGTGTGTATAGGCACGTGATCGTGTAGGGTAATGTTCTGACCTTGCGTTGTGTTATTGTTCTTAACCCGTTGTTTCGTTTGTATTTGCGTTTCGCTTGAAAGAGATGTCAGACTTGTCTCTGTGTCTCTTGTGCGACGTAAGGCGAGTAGGAATAACTTCGCAGTAGAGATAACGTGTATTTTGTGGTAACGACTTGATGGTTTTATTCTACTCGAGAATCACTAAATACAGACTAGGTAATGTTTTACAGCACTATAAGTTCCTCTACTTCACTTACGTGTGACTTACCACGTCTGACTTACGTGACTGCTCTGCTAACTGACTCTTCGGCTAACGGACTGACTGTGGACTAACCTGGCTAAGTGTACACGGCAACCCACATACGTTAAGAACACTGCCCTAACGTGCGGCCACGAAGCTGGGTTTATTCCATCGCGCGTATATGTGTATGTGCGGCCGCGACTAGTATGATGTATGGTGCGGGGCGTTAGTACGGGGGGACCGGGGGGGGGGGGACGTGCCCCAATTTTCTTGTGGCTCCCCAGTGTGCCCCCGCCAACCCACTGAAAATTCATGCTTGATAAAAAAAAAATTGAATTAAAAAAGATGCCGTAGAACAGTAATAAACAAGTAAAGAGGTTCGAACCACATATCTCAGTTTAAAATATTATAATATTGTGCCCCTCCACGAATGTAAAGGCCCCCATGTGCCCCCCCGCTCGCTTAAAAAATCCTAGGCTACGCCAAACTGTATGGTGCAGCTGGCGTATATCTGACCATCGTGCCTGTGCTATGGCGAGCGGATACCGACCCGCGTGATGAAGAATTTATCGTCTTGATACAAAACCAGGGTCACAGCATGGCGAAGGCTGGCGGTTGACTTGGGCGCACGCCCTTATACGCAAGTTAGAAAAAACAAGGCGGTCTCGATGCTGGCTATTCTCTAACGCGCTCCGTTTAGCATGATGTCATCGCGCTGAGAATATCCCACA